GGGTCGGGGCGGGAAGGGGGTGCCCCTCCCCGAAGCTCCCCAAACCTGCCCGTGAAGAATAAAAAAAATAATTAACTACAAATTAAAAACAAAAAATAGGTAATTGGAAGTTTTTTTTTTTTTTTAAAAAAAAACATATACGGGGCAGGAAATGGGGCAAGCCCAAGCCCGTCTAAGGTGGGGCGGGGCGGGGCACCTACCCCATTGCCATCTCTAAACCGAAAGGAGTGTGAACAAAATACCTATATCCATTGACTACTCGTTTTCCCCAAATTGTTTTCTTTGTGATTCTATTCAACATGTGGTCACAATATAGATGTAACCCAGAATGAAACTCTATTGAAGCCAATTTATCATAGGCGCAGAGAATGATTCTTCAATGTCACCATTGTTGTCCTTGTCGTATCATCTATTCTTGGTTTGAGTTTGAATTCCCACGTATTCAACTTTTTCAATTAATTCCATCCGTTTCGATTATGCCTCGACAATTTCAGTTACGAATGAAAGAAGGGAAAGTCTTGGTTATAGTATTTTTGGTTTTCTTTTTGTGTGATGCGGAAATTTTATTTTAGTTAAATTGTATAAAATAAAATTTTATATATTTGTAAGATATTTATGATTTTTTTCCATGCAAGAAAATTGGGATTGAAATTAAAATTAAAATTGTAATTCTATTCTATTATGGTTCTATTGTACAGTTGACAGGCAAACTCTTGGGCCAAAGCAGCTTGAATTCCAGCCCACATAGGGCCCCAATTGATTGGGTCCTATTTTCCCCCCATTTTGCAGCAATTCATCAATTTTTGGTCATGTTTATATACTTAGCAATAGCATTGTTGAAATCAATCTAGATGATAATGAGATCACTACTATATTATTTAATAAAGTTGTAATGTATTTTTTTTTCTAATTCACGGGATAATGGCCGTAACGGGGCCACTACAGCATTATCCAATAAAACTACGAAGCATTCTTATTCACGGAATAATGTAATAGTAATTATTTCGGTATTAAGCCCCATTACCGTTAGTACTAGATAACGTTATTTATTACAAAAACATCAAAATGATGTAAACTTTAATATCAAACTCGATTTTTGAAGCTTTTTTGTATGATGCTGATGTTAGATTTGTGTGAATAAACATTGACGGTCCAGATTCCAGTGGTAATACCTTTTGAGTTTTAGTAATAATTAATTTTTTTTTAAATTAAGACAAATATTATTTTTTAGTTTTTACATTGATGTTTTGTATCTCATATCCGGACACAAATATGTTTTTTTTAAAAATTAAGTTTATTTTTAAAGTTTTCTTATCGCCATTTGCAATTTAATTTCAGATATTCTATAGTTTTCTATACATGCATAGAGAACGATAGAATTGGAAATGTGATTTGTACTTTTATGGGATTGAATTTTTTTAATATTTCGCTTGAACAATCTCTATTTCTCTCATCTAAGCAATAAAAAATAATAATAATAATAATAAAAAATTCTAAACATTATACATACTTGAAATGCACACGTTCTTAACTAAATGCATGTTTCGCAAATTTTAAATTAATTGAAACTGATCAAACATACTTTTTATTCATACGATTTGCAAGATTCAATATTTACTACTCATTTATTATCGACATATTTGATAGTACCCACGACTTATAAGCGCACTTGGCACTCCCAAACATGCACCAAATAAAGAGCATGTTTGAGTTTTAAATTAAAATTTATGTAATTACAAACTTTAAGTCCTACAAAATTGATAATAATTATGAATATATGAATAAAAATATACTATATTCGTCCCATAAAGATATGCTTGATTTCCATTTTTGTTTGTCCCAAATTATAGGCCACTTTTCTTATTGAAAGTATAGAATTTTTTTTTTTAAATTTTCTAATATGTCCCTATTTAATGTACCTTGTTATCAATAAATATAAATTAATCATATCCAAATCATTATTTAATGTAGGGATATATTAGAAATAAAAAATATTTATATTTTCAACTATATTAATTATATTTTTTAATCTGTATGAAAATAAAAACAAATTAAGGGCTGGAGGTAGTATTTGACTTGGATAATGATGAATGTACACTCCTTAGTATACATTCATTTTGACACTCGCCTGTGTGGGACCCACATTCGCGGGCCCCACCCCATGTGAGGGGAGTGTCAAACTTAATGTACACAAAAGTGTACATCAAGCATTGTCCATTTGACTTATATGAGTGTGGCACAAAAATTAGTTGAAAAATTTGCAACCTCAGAGCTTGGGCTTTTTAAAGATTGATAAGCTTGCCCAATAATTGGGCCCACAAGGTAACACAGCCCAGAAGCACGTAAGAAATGACTGCGAGTACAGGAAAAAATGATTTAAGACTAGCGCCAATACTAAAACAAGAGACACCGATTCATTAAATGTGTGTTTTGAGACCTATTTTTCTTCAAAAATGATTTTTGTGATAGTAATTTTTTTTGAAAAATATGCGAGTATCAAAGTTAAAAAAGTTATAGACTTACGCGCAAAATAATTTTATTGAAAGAATGTGATTGAAAAGAAGTTTGGAAAAAAAAAAAATGACTCTTTGGTTTGTGTTTAATTTTTCAATTTTGACTTCAATTCAATTTTCTGTTTTAAGATGGAAACAACACAAATATAAGGTGTTTAAAATATACAATTTCAAAATTAGGAAATATGTTTTAAAATTTCAAAAATCATGTTATAATTAAGATTTATTAATTAAATAGATAATTAAAAACATTTTATTAATTAAATATTAAGGTCATGATATTACAATTTATGGTCACAGAGTCACCATTATATAATGTTATAGTCACAAATTTTATACGTTACAACTTATTTATTGGTCACAAATTACAAAATTAATTGGTTACACATTTTTCTCGATCACAAGTAACAAAATTTATATGTCACAATTGATTTATCGATCACAAATTCTCAAATTAATTAGTCACGTAGTATTTGTTAGTAAAAAAAATCATAAATTTTATAAGTTACAAATTATCAAATTAATATAGATCACATATTATTTCTCGATTACAAATCGCAAAATTTATGTGTGGCAACTTACTTTATAGTCACAAATGATCAAATTAATTGGCCACAAATTAAATCTCGATTACAAATTATCAAATTAATTTATCATAACTTCACATATTGCATGTTATGATTACAAATTTAGTCGCAATTTTACAATTTTAGGTCATATATCATTTATTGGTCATAATTATCGATTTTATTAGCCATATATTATGTATTGGTCACAAACTAACTATTTTATAGGTCACAAATACACATATAATAGGCCACAAACACTCTTCATTTCATCCCAACCAACCCCTAACCCACCGAAATTGAATTACCACGCCACCGACACCATCATCGACACCATCACCACAATTTTCAAACCTTCAACAAACACCTGCATCACCACCACCACTCCACCACCACAACGACCACCACCACTAACAACCACCATTTGCAAATTGAAAACAAGCCAACCACCTACAACCAATAGCAAAAACAACCTCAAAACTTTGATTAAGTGGATCAAATCGGAGGAGAAAGAAATCACACCCAAAAAAACTCAAACCCCCCTCCCCAAAACTTTGATTAAGCGTTGGCCATAGGCAGTGCACTATCTTAGGCGCATTGTCGGGCAACGCTTCTATTGTAATAACAGTAGTGTTGACGTTGTTGTGAGTTCGTAGCTACCTCGACACTGTCGCTCGTAGAAGCCTCACGATGTTACTGCGAACTCGCAACAGTCATGGCGTTGTTGTTCGCAGCAGCGTCGGGTGTTGCTGCGAACGGTAATGCCTAGCAGCAACGTTGTTGCGAACGACAGTGCCTACAATAGTTGTTACTCCCCATTTTCTATAAATTAAAAGTCAAGATTTTATTTTAAAGTCAAAGGTGGAATTGTCAAAGTCATAGTCAAATGAGACTTAAATGAGGCAAATTATTTTCTTGGGGTTTATTTTGCAGTGGATATTAATTGAGGATTTAAATTGGATTAAATTTGAAGTTAGGGAATTATTTATTTAGTTTTGGAAGTAAAAGACTTAAATTA